TTAAAAATAAGTAAATCAATTAATTTGGGTAGTTCATTCATAACAAAAAAAATTCTATACTAGTATCACTAATTATCTCAACTTCAATTTTATATTAATCTAATGCTCTATGAAATGCTTTCAAAAAAAAAAATCTATGAATGATTCGTGGATGTGTCTATATAGAGGTATAGATATTGAAATAGTCTATACTTTTTCCAATTCTATTATCACATGCACTAAAATGATTAGTTCAAAAAAATATTAGCATGGCATTAATCCATATTGCATATAAAAAAAAAGTTTGATATATCATATATGTTAGCAATTCAACCATCATGGCTTGTACAACAATTCAACCCTACAGCCTCTGAACATCGTAAATCATATAATTTTCATTATATTAAATAAAAACGAACATGGTAAATGAAAATAGTTACGTACACTATCACCCAAAAAAAATACACGCACAAAAAGTTTGATGGTTCAACCAATGGATTGGTTAATAGTAGATTTATATGGTTAAAATGGTCATTGTCTTATTTATTTGGGAAATAAAAGAACTTATTGAAAAGCAAATAGGGCTTTAAAACTAAAAATTAACTTCCACTTGACAAATAAGTTGGGCATAGCTTGGCAGCAATAGTTGTTGTTATTTACACAAGTTGTGAAGGTTCAAATCGCATTACATGTATTTTATTTTTACACAAGTGGTAAAGTCATTTAACTATGTTCGGGTTTCAGGTTTGACCAAACCACATAGGTTCAAATCAGTTAGTCCAACTTGAATTTTCTATATGGATTTGTCTTTGATCTAATCACATCAATGGTGGTTGACACCATTTGGATTTGGATCAGTCCGGTTGGACCACATTGGACGGATTCAGTCAATGGCGAATTGACTTAGATCGACCCATATTGAGTTGTGCACGAGTTTGGGCCAAGCTAACTGGTCCAAAGCGGGTCAATGGGAGTAGTCCATGTTGGTCCAAATTTGGGTCGAGCGATTAATCCGCAATGGGGTTAAAGCAAGTGGGACAGGTCAGGTTGGGCTGGATCTAGGTCGAACTAATCTATTCGGGCTGCTCCAGATTCAGGTGAATCCAAATTGCCCCTGTCTGTATTGGGCTGGGTTCGAATTGGGCTAATTGACACAAATGAATCAAACCAAGGTGATCGGGTCTGTTTATATTCAAGCTGGGCTAAACTGATCCAGACTAGTTCAGGCTCGGGTTGGTTTGATTGGGATTTATGTTGATCTGGGTGAAGTGTCTTGCAAAATTAATTTTAGTCAATAATTAATAAAATATTAATGCAATAATTATAAATAATTTAACTTAAATGAAAATAAAAGCTAAGGAATTCATACTTGTATATTTAGTTGTTAACCCAATGGTTATCCAAAACCCAACCCATTTTCAACCCACCAAGTAAATGGGTGGATTAGGTACCATCCGGACAAAATTGGATTCAATATTCACAAGACCATGCTCGCACCTAGGGTGGTTACGAGCTAAGCTTTTCACAAGTTTTTTGAGCTTGATTTGTAAAAAGCTCAATTTGGTTAAGTCTAAATTGAGCTTTGAAACGAATTTACGCTTAATATATAGGCTTGTCTGCTAATTGAGTCAAGCTTGAGCTCAATAAAACTTGACTCGTGAGACTCACAAACCTAATCAAACTTATACATATATACTTGTATATATGTGTACACGCATGAATACATACATACATACATACATATATACATATATACATATATAATAATTAGTTTTTTATAAATTTTCATTTTTTATATGTATAATTTTTTATTTTTATAAACAGTTTGACTCACAATCGAATTCGAGTCGAATTGAACTCGAAATTACAAATTTTAGACTCAAATTTCTAACTCAAACCAAGCTCGGGTCTTATAATTTATTAGCGAGTTAACTCAAAAACTAATATTAGGCTCGGATCCATCCTTATTCACACTGTCCTCATACTCCCTTGCGGCCTTGTATTGGACATATTTTACACGGTTGTAAAAGACTGTAAGGACGGTTGAAAACGGTTATGTAACGACCGAATCCGATCTATATCGGAACTCCCTAAACATGGTAAATCTCATCTCTCAGACTTCACTTAACAAAATTCGTTCTTCAACGAGTCCTGACTAATTAATTAGTTATTAAAATATTAATGTTAAAGTAATGCATAATAATAGCCACCGTTAGACTTCCAAATGATCACGTAATTTACATGGCAAATTGAACAGATATTAATTGCTAGAAACTGATTAATATCTCGAGAAGTGTGTTTTGCCTCTTTCTTGGGAATAAAATATTATTATTATTTTAATTCTCCTTTCCATTTACGTCTGAACCAAACAGACTATGAAAATAGACGGTTCCAATTTCAACTGCAAACCAAATGGCTTCTAATTTTCAATACAAGTCATAATAGACATGTGCTTCTCTACACTTCAAGCCCTAATAAACTTTCTCGTGTGAAATAACATTTTAGGTAATAACAAATCTATTTAGGGACATCATCTAACACTTCAAGCTTTTATGATAAGTAAACACCATGTTTTAGTCGCATTGACATATGCTGGTTATCTACCAATGGAACCAGCTCAAAGTTGCATTCCTATTACGGATTCAGCAATGGATCCCAATAGGGTCATAGGAAATCAGCAGCTCTGCGGAGAAAAAAAATAGTCTGATGCAAAGTACGAACTTATAAAAACTAATGAAACCAAATCCTAGAGAAAGCAGATTATCCTCATTTCTGTTTATAGCCTAATATTCCACCTCATGCCTCACTCTCAACTTCAATATTGCAACTCTTCCATAAAACATGATGCCCGGCAATGTGCTTGCGCAGAATATAGACACCACTTCAGTACCTCCCTTCTCATGTTTTTCCGTGAGAATGGCAAAAGATAACTTCCATTTTTGTGCATGTCTATCATTTGGGAAAGTTATTTTTTAAAACTTCATCAAATGGTTAGGTGTTTTTTAACTGTTATGCTGATGTGGTGTCTAGTGGCGCCTATTTGTCATAAATGACTGTAATTATTAACTTTATCGGTTTTGCAAGCAAATAAAGTATAAACGTTGAATGAAAAAATGTAAACAGAACCAAATACATACTTATTTGTTCTATAACAAGGCAAGAAAAATATGATTTTGCTTTATATCACTAGGAATGTCAATGAGGTCGGTTTATGAGGGTTTTGAGGGTGGGATATCTTTCCCAAAATTTTGATGGCACATGGAAACATAAAACATTCCCCTTATTGCATTTGAGGGTGGGATGGGTCGGATAGAAAATACATAAATTTTCAATTGCCTTTTAACATATATGATATCCGAAAAACAACTGACCAATTAATCAAAATCATAAACATGGTAGAGAATGTGGTGTTATTCATCAAAATTCATGGATGGGTTTTGATTAGTAAACTCTTTCCATAACATATATTTTCCAATTTCAAAATATTATTAAATTCAATACTTAATACATAAATTTATATGCCTTAATTGCCTTGCAACACTTAGGGTCCGTTTGGTTTGTAGTCAAAATCGGAATTGAAATCATTCGGAATCGGAATGGTCTAACTCCATAGTCTGTTTGGTTCAAATAGAAATGGGAATGATAATTAAAATTAGTAGGAATGGGATTTCATTCTTGATGGAGGGATAGGGAATGGCCATTCCCTAAAATGGCCATTCCAGCAAAAATGGGAATGGGATTCTAATTCCGCCCAATCAAACAATTGGAATCGGAATAGCCCATTCCGATTCCGATTGCAGACCCTTATTCCCGCAAACCAAATGGGGCCTTAATATATATGTCTTCAAGTAAAAAATCGGCTCCGTTGAGATGAATATAAATAAATACCTATTCGAATAGACTCTGGATCTCCTGCCCACATCTACCCACAATACATTATCCTGTGAATTAGAAACATCTATGCAGAGGATGAAATGTTCTCCATGTGCAACTGTGATAAAACGTGGGTAGAATTCTCGTTGGGAAGAGATCCGGATTCGTTTGACTAGGGTAAGAATTGCTACAAACAAATATGGACTTCTATCATATATAATCTTATATCTCTACAGAGTCACCCGAATTTTAAAACTAATGATACCAAATCAGGCAACCCATCTGTCAGACCTATCTTTGACTGGGTTATAAAATAGGGAGCATAGAGCATTGATCACCCGGGCCATCCCACTAGACCCGGGATGCTTGTTGGGACCCAACTCCGTGTAATGGCGGTGTCCGATGTTCCATACACGATGGACATGACTTGGAGACCAAAATTCATACCTCCTTAAATCATTAATGTCCCACTAAATGCAAAAATAAAAATAAACTGGATTTTTAGGTGAAGGTGTAAATATACTGCCACTATAGGGACAAAACCGTATATGTGAAAATAGCTCAAGTTCCGCCAATACATTACACGTGAAAGGGTTCAATTTCGAGGGTCTAATTTGTCCTTCCCAACATTTAACTTCCTCATGCGAAACCGCTGAAGCTGTGGAGTGTGAGCCTGCATGGAATAGTAATACAGACGTTATAATGACTAATATACCCTTATAATTTCACATAAAATAGCATACCCATACTAATTAATAAAAAAGGAAGCAGAGTTCCGAATTCGCTTCAACCGGGTTAAGAAAGATTTTTAACTTCCTTGAAATGGATGGGCCGTTTTTCCCGCAAATATTGCGTAACTCCCGGAAAACTCGGGCGTAAGTTACAAACTCAAAGGGCAATTTAGTCATAACCGGAATCCAGGTTTCCGTGGAAAAAAGGTGAAAGTAATTTGTAAATTTGATCTCCCATTTTTTTCACCGTACGATTAAATCCCACTTACGATACAACATATTCCACTCGTGCCCGCAATAAATGTGGGCCAATGGGGACGCGCAACGTGTACTCCTGCTAGATTTAACTATAACTCATTTTTTTTAGGGTTTTGTTTTCTTGCGTGGGTTGATTGAAAATTTGGCGGGCAATTGGATGAAAGAATTTCAAACCAGCCAAACCCTAAAGGGTCCCTCCAAAACAAACCCACATACACGCACTCTCTCTCTCTTTCCCTCTATAGTGTTGTTGTTGTTGTTGGGTACTTGGGTTTTCAGTTCCTAGGATTCTTATCTGCAGCCCTGCACTCTTGTCTACCATGAGAGGTTCGTATTTTTCTATTGTTATTATTGTTTTTGGTTGATTCTTCCTGTTGGAGGTTCGTAATTTTCTGTTCTGGATTGAATTTATTTTTGCTTCATTAGTTCATTTTTTGGTTACATACTTGTGATTCCTTTCATAGCCAGTAAAAGAATTCTCATCAGGGGTTTGTTGATTTTCAATGTTTTTTCTCTTCTCAGGATAGAATGAATGATAGAGCTGTATGGATTGGAGGACCGTGGCTAATTGCTTGAAGGTCACCTTCATTTCTATTATTAGTTGCAGGTTAGCATTCCATGTTTTTTTTCTTTATTATCGTTATTTTCTTTTCTCGGTTGGGAAACTGATCAAGTTTCTAAAATACATCTATCTCAGGTGTAAGTGTCTAATTTATTTTCACTACAAAAAGTAAACATTTTCTTAGGGGGAACCGGAGAAGAACAGGGGAAAATCGATATAAGGAAGCAGTGAAGGGAGCATACAATAAAAAGATAGGGTAAACAGTATGGGAAAGGTTTCTCCAAAGGATGAGAACTCCATGACTCCGAAGCAGAAGAGGCGACTGAGGAAATCGAGTAACAAATATGTAAAGCGTGGTTCTCGTTCTCAGCTTCGTTACAGCAGGGCTACCTCTGCCAAGTCTTGTACGGATCTTGGCAAGAAAAGGGTTGTTGTATTGGACTCCAATGAGACCAAGAGTGAGTCGGTGCTGAACAACAAGTTCGTCCTTCAAAGCCCTCCGATTTTGTCACCAGAAAGGATTACTTTCCGCCCGGCTGGGGGAGCATTGGATTCGATTAGACAGAATAGTTTGCCAAAAACACCGAAGACTCCTCAGGATAAACACTGGGAGTCAGAGTCGAGGCTTGAATCTCTTCCTATGGATTTACTGGTATTCGTTTAAATTTCATCATAACCTCTAGAAAAAAAGAATTGTTCTTTTTTCTTTTAACTATTGTTAAGTTCAATTTTGTTTCCTTAACTCCTATATTTTTTAGGTCGGCTGTTTATGTTTACTTCCCCGATAGCTGTTGATTTGTTTATTTTTATTGTAGCCACAGCAGTACCTGTGTTTGGGTTCCTTGGTTTCCCCTAGATCATTGCCTACCTGTTTCTAATTTTCTTTACTGATGTGTATAATTTACATTTATTTTTGCCTTTTCTATTGCATCAAATGAAGTTAGACTCTGTTTGAATGGTGTAGTCTTCTTTGTTCTTGCCACATTGAGATTTTTGTGCTTTTCATTTACCAGATGGAGTTGATTCGTTCCTAGATAGAGAAATATAGTTAATTTACCATGTTCGGAGATTGAAGTTCTTGTTGCATTTCTGCTAATTTACAAGATAAAACTGGTTTTCTAACTATTCTTGTTCCATGGCTTAGGGATTGAAGTATTTGTTTCACTCTCTTTACTTTGACAGTAAATATTTATTCTCAAGTGGGTTTTTGTTTGATTCTTTTAGTTCTGTTCTGTGTCTGTGTTCATGATTGCTGTTGTAAGTCCAATTCTCAATATGCTAGTAAGATATTTCATTAATTGATCTATATTTTGTAACTGGGATAGGAGTAGAACTATTTTACCATGAGAAAAGATCTAAGAATGTGGTTGGAATGGTTAAAAATGAAGTTGTAGCAATTCCCGCACACCTCTGAACTATGATTTGCTTGTTTCCTAATTGTCTACTCATAAGATGACATATGGCTATGACCAAACTATTTGTTTGAGTTCACAGTTCTTGTTATGATTCCCCTACTCATTTTAGATGATCTTTATTTTTTTTTTTCTTTTTACATTATCTCATTATGATCACTGATATTTTTCTACTAATAGAAGTTACTGATTTTCTTGTCTATTTTGTGTATTTTGAGGTTAAAATCCTTTGTCACTTGCACCATGACGAACTGGAAGCTGTTTTCTATGTCTCTCAAAAGCTTAGAAAGGCTGTAGGTGTCTCTCTTCCTTTCTCCATCTCTATCTCTCCTTTGCCTTGCTGTTCTGGTTCTCCTTTTATTCATCTGTTTCTGTTCTAGATTTTAAATTCATTTTTGAGAATAGAGATGTTGCTCGCAACTTCTGGAGCAGGTTGACCTTGCTATGAATTGCCATTTCAATTACACAACTCCTGATCGGTCACGGCAAGAGATGTTGAATATGAAAACTCCCCTCCCAACAGAACGTTGGCCTTTTATGAGGTTTGTATTTCTAATAATAGATTTCCAGTGTTTTGTTTTCGGTGATTGTTATTTTCTTGACTTAGATTGATCATGGGTATATCCTGGTCCTTTTGCAGCAAGAGAGATGGGAAGCAAATCTGTCCTCACACCCCAAAAGCACCTAGACATGGTGCTCGCCCTCCTTCTCGTCTCAATATCACTGAGATGCGGAAATTTTCTGCTGTACTCTTCCCAGAGTCTGCTTTCCCTTCAAGATGTGTAGTGCTGCCTGGCTTGCCAAAGCCTCCATGCAAATCTTTGGCTTCCAATCGAGCTTTATTCTGTGAAGATGATTTGTGCCAGGCTGTTGCTCAGAATAAACTACGCTGATTCCTTTGCTGTTCCCTACTCGCTTTTGTTTGTATATGTATATAGTCTCCTCCCACTCTGTAGGGGTAGTAAGTAGTGAAGCAGTTTTGTAGTTTGCCATGGCTGTATTAGGTTTTCTAGTGGAAGTTGATAGATTATAGTTTACAGTGTCAAGCTATGAGTATTAGACATATTGGTTACCTGTATAGTGCTCTATATATATTGCAAGTTGTGTTATACCTCTGGAGTTCTCTTGTAATAGGTCTTTCATATAATTCTTGCTATTCTTTTTGGTTTGCTGTAAGCTGGGAGAACTCTTGTAATAGTTCTTTCAACTAATTGGTGCCATCTGCAGCTTTGAGTGCTATTCACTATTCTCCCATCTGAATTCTGACGGAAAGCTGTGATGACATGAAATTCTTTATCCCCATATAGCTTATGTGTATGTGGAATTTGTTATGTGTTTATCTGACATGCACACGTACTCTTCTTTTCACCAGGAAAAACATCCATTAATGTACTTGAATTTTTTTAAATGAATAAATAGGGGTGAGGAAAAAATAACTCCTTTTTTCCTGTAGACATAAACTAGCTGGTAGGCCAACATGCTATGTTACAGAACCCAATCAAGGGTGAACCAAGGTTCAAAATATCGATATCCCTCTAGGCATATCGGGCAGTATTGATAGGTTTTTATTTTTTTTAGTATTTTTTAAAATCCGGTTCAGGGGAGCTGGTTTAAGGTCTGTCCACCCTTGAACCAGTTGAAATCCTGAAACACCCCCTGGAGGGGATTTCGAACCTTGGGGTGAATGCCTAAAGTATTATCAAAAAATTCTAGAAAAAAAAATTGGAAGACATACCGGAATGTAATAAAGGAAAACTGAACATTTTTGTTTGGGTGGGGTAAAGGGAAACTGACTCAAGAAAGAAAAAGGAAAAAGATACTTGGCTTCTTGGTCCAACCGTCCTGTCAGGTCTGGTTTTGAAAACAGTGTTCTAAAGTTGCCAATTGGAAGAATTGAGTTTTGGGGTTTTTATTGTTCAGTCCACCCCAGAAATCTGAACCCCACCATACAAGTGGGATGAATCCTGACCGTGGATTGTTGCCAAAATCCAAATCCACAGCAAGGAAGGGGACCAGTGGGACTACTATTAGACTTAGAGGGGGCTGTAATTTCAGATTTTTGAGGTGGACTGCAGTCTACTTATCCCTTGAGCTTTTAACCCTTTTGGTTGGTCATGCTAATAAGATGATTTAATGAATATCAATAAGATCTTCACCGTCAGTTAAGCCTCATCTACTCTTTTTATAAACGAACTCCACATAAATAATAATATGGTAGAATACATAAACCTCCCCTGAAGTTTTTGATAATTACAAAAATCTCCCCTATAGTTTCATTTTAATAAATATCTCCCCTGAATTTTTGAGAAACTCAACAAAAACCTCTCTTCTGTCACTGTCCCAGATGGAAAACTTTAGATTGGTGCATTGGATTTTTCCAAATATCCATTCTACCCTTTTATAAATTATTTTACATACACAATTACTAAAATAATTCCATTTTAACTCAACAAAATAGGGTTATTTCAGTAATTTTTGTTGAGTCAAAATGGAGTTATTTCAATAATTTTTGTTAGAGAGGTGTTTATTAAAATAAAACTATACGGGAGATTTTTATGATTGTCAAAAAGTTCAAGAAAGGTTTTTGCATTTTACCCATAATTGTAATAGGGATTTTTGGCCTACAACCCCCTTTAAAAATACAATTTGCAACCTCCTCCTAGTCCGGTAGTTAAGCCCTGTCAGTCAAAGAGTTTCAAAAAGATAATCTTTTCAAGAGGGCTTCGTAATCTTTCTGTAAATCATCACAATTATACGTTGTGACAGTTGAGTTACAGAACCTGAAGAGACAAAAGATGGGAAAATCTTGCTGGAAATAGTTGTATTTAATTTACTGTATATTTGAAGATGCAGCTGTCAAAGAAATTTATGAGACTTATAAACTTTGGATATTAGTAAATAATTTGATATTTAAATGCTCTATTTACTTAAAAAGTTAAAAAAAGGAAGAGAATCAAGAAAAATATTTTACTTTTTATATGAGGTAGACAGAGAGTGGTTTTCTTTTCCCAATGCCATATGGCAAATTGGCAATGCATATATTTTTCGTGGCACTTACTAGTAACTGCACCCATAACCCACAGTCCCACACTGGGTAAGTGGACATCATAAAAGAGAAAGTGATCCAATGAAGGGTCCATTGACCATTGGAGGGACTCTCCTTTGGCCTTTTTCTTTTGGCTCATCTTGAATTGGAACAGGAACCAGTCAACACTCAACAAGTTATCATTTTCGATTTTCAACTACTTCCACTTATTATTTATTGCCTTGTATCATTAGCTAAAAAGGTAGCCAATCAACCCGTATCATTGATTTGGTAACTAATCAACTGTTATTCATTCAAATTCAAATTCCTATAGGCTTCTAATTGGTTAATGTTTTCCAAGTATGGTACCTTTTCGTCATCATACAAATTGCCTTCATACAACATTATGAGCCGGTTTCAGAGGGTTCCAGCGTCCATTGAGTTGAATTGTCTGAACTGCTGTTTAAGGGAAAAATTCATGATTGGTTTTTCTCATAAATTTTTATTAATTTTTTTTAATCACTCTTGACCCAGATGGTTCTAATTCTGTTTTACCCCAAACATAATCTTTAGCAAAAAATCATTGAATTTGTTAGTGATCCACTGACCCAAGTGGTTGAATTGTCGATCTGTTCAATGGTTTTGACCATTTTTTATTTTAATTATTTTTTAGTTAGAGTGGACCGTCCATTCATACCGGATGGTTGAACTACTGATTCTAAGTCGTTTTTTAAAATCCTGAGTTTTTTTTTTTAATGTATTATCCCAAACCCTATTCCTAGTTGTACAAAATCTATAAAAAATTATGAGGTGGAAGAATCTATAAAAACCCCTCCCAAAAGCTAACGACAATAGCCTCACAGGAAAGTTGATTTTAAAGTTCATTTTAGTCTATTTTTGGTTTTCTTTCAGGGTTTTCATAAAAATGGACATCATGACTTTGTAAATTAGATACTAGAATCCTAAATAGGCACTATATATTTGATATTTGCTCGAACCAGAATGGAACACAATCCTTTTTTCTAATCATTAGTGTAAGAACATGTCATATGTGCAATATAGTAAAGAAGATATAAGTTGACACTATATCATCAAATTTAACTTTTATGACTTGCACCAAAACTAAGGCAAGTATACGCTTTACAATATTATAATTGTGGTTGAGGGTTGAGACATGAGAGCCGGGGAAGAGCCAAAAAGGGGCATAACTCTTCTAAATAATTTACAAAATACAAACCCAATAGCTCTCAAATTCTTTATCTTAATAATTTCCCAAATCTCATCTATATCAATCAAAAGCATGCTTGAATCTAGTAATGTTTCGAACCATCTTATTGTGGCTAAGCTTGTAAATTCTTTGGATAATTGTAGTGGAGATCTAGGATATGCTATTATGGGTATGGGGGATGGGCTACCACCCATTGTTTAGCCCATGAAGTAAAAAAAAAAAAAAAGATAAATTACAAAGACCCCTTTACCATAGGACTAGTGACAATGAACCCTTGAACATTTTTCCCTTGGCCGTTATGTCACATGACATAATGTGATAAATTACCAAAATATCCTTATAAAATTTTCTTATTTCTTTTCATTGCCCTTTTCTCCTAAGCCCTTATTGACAAAAAAATGACTCCAATTTTTTTTTTTTTTTTTTTTTTTTTTTTTTTTTTTTGCAAACGGAACCAACTAAAATAATAAAAATTATTTCATTGATGTAGAAAAGCAAGTTTCTTTAAATTCTTGTTTCATTTCACTGATGTCTCTATTCATCTTAAAATATAAAAATATCCGCTCCTTTCTCTAATAAACCAAGAAAAACCAAATGAAATTGGCTAAAATATATAACAAGAATCATTTTATTAATGTAGAAAAATAAGTTTTTTAAATTATTATTTCATTTCATTGGCATGAGTATATATATTCATATTAAAATATAGAAAGTATCCAATCCTTTATCCAATAAGCCAAGAAAAATCAAACAAAACCTTAAATTTATATCTATAAAAAAAAACCTCTACCATTTCAATGAATATCATAAATCATTAAGATATCAAAGCAATGGAAAGAGATTCAAATTCGATATTATATTTGAAAAATTAATCAAGTCATAAATATTTCAAATAAATAAGAAAATAATAGTTTGGGAATTTAAAAAGTTTTAAACAAGTGAATGATAATCTTTTTTTAAGGTTATCTAAGCAACTCACAGAAAGGGGTACTTGTCGCAAAGTCAAAGTTGAGGGGTAACTGTCTGTCACTGATCCCACAGTACGGGGGATTTTTTATAATTTATCGAAAAATAGAAGAGAAAAGTTTAGGAATGTTTTCGAAAATTGCCAAATTCATTAACCCACCATAGAAATATAGAATGATAGAATGAACCGTGAACGCAGTAATCATTCGCCGTCTTTCTACATTTCCTGTTTATCCAATTTGTTGAGGATGCGATGAGATCTGTTCAACGGATGTGAGTATAATATTACATTTGCAACTTTATCCTAACTCTCTCTCTCTCTCCTGTACGACCTGCCTTACCTTTAAACTTGTTGAAGATCTGCGAAAAAACAAAAAGAGGGAGAGAAAAGAATGGAGAGGCTTATCTATTCTTCCCCTCTCCCTTCCAAAATATCTCTTAAACCCTACCCTTTCCTCCCTCGAATCGGCCGGCTTGATACTGGAAAACTCGGGCCTTCCCCGTTATTCCGTACCGAGTTCAGGCGGGTCGGCTCGTTTTTCTGCAAACAGGAAGGTCTACCTTCTTCATCGTCACCATTCCCCACGAAATTTCATTCTGGATGTTCGTTAAAGGCGCCACCTTCCCCCGCCGATTCACCGGTTCGCTCAATTCCCACTTTTCCTTCTCTTAAACACATCTTTGGAAGTGCTTCAGAGCATCAAAAGGTGAGCTTTTATGTTCCTTTTTCTGGATAAAGCACTTATTGATGGGCGTTCTTGACATTCTCCTTGCTAGATTCCAATAACTCTAAATTGGGTTAAAGCTGTTCAATGCGAAATCTCTTCTTTTATTGGTTTCTATTGGTTCCTGGACTCAGGTTACATGTCTGCTAACCAACCCTGATAGGTTGAATGTGGTTTTAGCATGTAATTGTTCCATGTTCACGTCCAACATCTTTCTTACGCTCTATTTTTTTTGACTGGTCTGAAATAAGATTTTATGTAGTTTGTTTAAGAAGTTTTAGGAATTCAGGGCCTAGTGTGAAGCACCACATTGTAACTTTTGTACTGATGCTAACATTGATGTAATTGGGCTATTCCGGATAAGGGTCTCGAGGGACTCCATTTTCTTCTTCTCCCCTCACTGTCTTTTTGCTTTACCTCTTCTTTTCCTTAACAAAATGAAAATTGGCAAGAGCTTCTTCTTTACGTTCACTCTATCAGTCTATCTTATTCTTACCCATATTTAACTATGATATTTTCCCTTTAGGGAAGTAGAGTGCTACCGAGTTATTTGTTGTTTTTAGTACATTTGCCTTGTTTATATAACTGTGACAAGTTGGGGGGGGGGGTTGCCCATTTTGATGAACTGAACCATAATATGTTAGCTCTCTAACATATCTTTGTCTGGAGTTATATTTAAAGAATTATTGATGCTCTGAAACTATTTAATTTTGTGATGACTTGTAAGATCAGTATGCATATTCCCTTGAAACTATTCGGTTTTGCCTTTTCTTGTAATATGTGTTCATCTGGAAGAAATATAGTGTTCAAGAACTAGTGGCTTTTCTGAATGTTGTTCTTGAATTATTGTATAGGTTGTGTTGGGTCCTCTTTGTTGTTGACTGAGTTTTGGTTGATGATCATACAAGATAATTAGGTTTTGCAGATGGAGAAGCTTATCACTGACATCAAAATTACTTCATCTTTGCAATTTGTGGTAGTTGTTGATTGTTTTAGTTATCAAATGAAACTATTTTGATATTTGGAATTTTGCAAGAGGCTATAAAGAAATTGGTTTTCTGTTCTGAGGTATTCTTACATTCCAGGTGTAGTAGACGAGATTACAGTTGACGGTCTATGCAAACTTGCAAAGATGGGATGTTACAATACCAATACAAAAGACAAGATGTTGCGATGTAGGTGGTGTAGGACAGGTAGGGGGTCCTACAAATTTTAGATCTAATGGTATTATAGGTTGAAGGAATACAGTTAAAATGATTAATGATGAAGACAGAGATGGAGAAGAAAGTAAACATTGTGCTGTCCGCTAAAGAATGAGCTAAATGTTAGGAAGGAAAAAATGTTAGAGTTGACAGCAAAGAGATAGGTTTCTTAGGAGAAGAAATAAATACGAGGGGGAGAGAGAGGAGAAAAATACCTGGCTACAACTAAAATTGACTAAACCAAACTCTTATTTTTCATGAAAAATTATTATATATTTCAATTAAAATGACTTTATGAATTCACAGACTCCAAACTCAACTAGGAAGCTGACCCCAAAACAACTTTTACTGTCTTTGTAACTAAGACACTCCCACAGATAACCCATAAAACACTTACAGGGACTCTAACTCCTAAAGTAAACCTCTAATTCTACTAAAACTAAATAAATCAAAACAATTCCAAGATAGACATAAACAAGGACCCAAACCCCATTGCCGACTGGCCCTCCATCAGCAAAATAACTATAGTTTTCTCAAACCACATCAGATTTAAAAAGATATTGTTCTTGTTAGAGAGATCATCCAATAACCTATCTAATGACACTAAGATCTTGCAAAATGGACAAGTTTTGGCACATGAAAAAATAGTCTAAAAATCACAAAACTTGACATTCTAAAAACTTTCTAAGAAGAAACTTTAAACTATGATGGCCCTTTAAAATGATTAACCTCATTATTAAGACACTACTGAATTAGAATGATAACTCTTAAAAGACTAAAATTGACAATATTCAAGTAACTCCAAAACTATGTATTGTCATTGGTATTGGAATTTGAACAAACTTGGTTTCTTCTTCCATGGTTTCTTTCCCTTTTTCATACCTTCATCAGTGGGCGTAGTTTTAAAATCTGTGTAGATAATCATTTTTCCCCCTTTTGAGATATACAGTGAGAGTCGTGTTTCCTGCCCACCACTCCCAAGACCCGAACATGTAGGTCCAGCATTGGGTAATGACCTTTTTTTAGATAAACGGTGAGGGTTTTGTGGTAGGAATGAGAACTATCTTTTCTTTTCCTAATAGAGTGTCGTGTTTCCATGCCACAGAAAGGGGAAAACCTGAAATCCCCAGAAAGATATCAGATCTTTACATGGTTAAGAAAAAATAATGTACATCTATACTTGTGTCTAATTAATTAAATCTTCCCATTAGAGCCTGAATTATCATAGTTTGTCTGTTCAAAATTCTTTAAATAGACCGGTGAATCAATATTCTTTCGATATTTCCAGTAGGAACATTGATGGTTGAGCTTTTGCCATTGAAGATTTGATGATTCCTTTCCTTGCAAAACACAAGCACAGGGAAAATGGAAGTGTGCTCAATTGATGATTCCTATTAGAGCCTGAATTATCATAATGCTATGCTTGTTTCTGTTCATTTCTTCATTGTTTTTAGGCTGGGAAGTGGTTGTAGTACTCCCAAAGCAGTTGTTTTGCCAATCTTGAAACTACATAATTCCCTGTAATACAGTTAATCCTAAGTGGTTTTCGGGCAGACTTTCTTCACATGCTAGAGTTTGGAAAATATCAAAACACATAGAAACATGATAGATTCCAAATAATATTTTGGAGAAAGAAAGGCAAATTGACTAGGTTATACTCCCGGATATGAGCGCAATAGACATGTAAATATTGAAAGAAATTAGTAGGTTATATTATTATAGTAAATGTAGTTTTGGAGGGTAATGAGGCATCCTTCAATAGATCCTTTATGTTGAACTTGTTCATGAAGTTAATCTATTGCTTCTTTTACTAAAGGTTCTTCATACATGCTGAAACACAGCTTTCTTTTCAAAATATTACAGTGGTTGGATCATCTAATTGTTACATACATACAGGCATCCGGACCAAAAGAAATGCATATTTTTTTGGCTGTAAATAACATGATGACTTGCTTTTGCTTCTTTTCTATTAAACCATACCAAACAAATAATTTATACAATATCATATTTGTTCCTGTCAGAAGTCACAAAATTCTCTTGTTTCAGGCACTTCCAGCTGGAGCTATTATTCTGCTCTCTTCTCTAATAGTGTTCTTAGTCCACCCAATTCCTGCTCCTCCAGCACATGCTACAATACATACTACAACAAGGGGTTCTGCTGTTACTGCAATTGGGGGAAGATTTGTTCAGAGTGAGCTACTTAGCAGTGCTTGGACTGGCTTCTTTGCTGGTTGTCTTCATACGTTATCAGGTCCAGATCACCTTGCTGCTTTGGCTCCACTCTCAATTGGGCGTTCACGGCTGGAGAGTGCTGCAGTTGGAGCTCTCTGGGGCTGTGGCCATGATGCGGGTCAAATGATCTTTGGGTTGCTTTTTCTACTTCTCAAGAACCGTCTCCACATTGAGGTCATTCGAACATGGGGTACAAGAGTGGTGGGCATAACTCTTCTCATCATAGGGGCTATGGGAATCAGGGAAGCATCTGAGGTCCCTACTCCTTGTCTTGCCCTAGAGAAGGGAGAATGTGACGTGAGTGCCCTTGAAGCCTTTGATGCAGCACCAGTGGAGAAAAAGAAGATTGGATTTGCAACTTTTGCCACCGGGATTGTCCATGGGCTTCAACCAGATGCATTGATGATGGTGCTGCCTGCGCTAGCTCTGCCATCACGGTTGGCTGGTGCTGCCTTTCTAGGTATGTTCTTGCTTGGAACCGTAATTGCCATGGGTAGTTATACAGTGTTGATTGGTTCGTGTAGTCAGGCGTTGAAAGAAAGAGTCCCCAGAATAACTGAGAAACTAACCTGGGCTTCTTCTCTTGTTGCAATTGCTCTTGGATTGGCCATTCTCATTAGCCAGCTCTTTGGATTTAGCTTGTATTAATCTGATCCTCTCAAGTTACCCATTTTTTTTTGAACTTGTAGTTTTAATGTCTTTACAGCAAGAGTTATTCCTGTATTTACTATTACGTTTGGCTCGACAAGAAATATTTTTTTTTTTCTGTTTTCATTTTCCTTGAAGCTCCTAGGTCTGATAGAAGGGGACACTTTTCTTTCTGCCTATACCGGCTACCGGCAACTTTTGTTACCTTATTTTTGGTTAGAGTTGAAATTGGTTTGTATTCGTTTATTTATACCACAATATTTTTGTGTAGCCCCATTGAACCAAGAAAAAAATCTCTTTCTTTCTTATCTTATTTTTATTTTTATTTTTTATAAAAGAGAACAAATACAATTGATGAAAAAGCTTGTATCATTTCATTCCTTGCATTACACAGTACACAGTTACACACCATGACACCCTAACGGCCGGATCTCCTGGTGCTGGTGCTGAACTGATTGGGTCAAGTTTGGGCCTGGTCCGGCTGAACACACGCCAGGCCTGGCCCATAAAATTGCATACCTACTTCAGAGCCAGGCTTTATTACACACAGTGACACACGCCTGACCCATAAAATCCCTTCATTCATGAATAATGAATTATGAAGTTTACAATATGAACGAATGCGATACATTAACAAAGGCGATTTCCTTTGCCTCAGTAGAAAAAGCTAAGGTACTTGCGTAATAGTGGACCAAAGAGAGCTTTGTAGGCTTTCTGGGTGGGATGAAAGCTATCCCAAAATACATATTTGGAGACATCTGCACACGTAAAAGGGTTCAAGTCATTGCACAGCAATGTTACTTCTATCTTCCCCGTACCACAGCATCCTTTGCTGACCTCTTCAAACCCTAATAAGTGGATAGAAGGTGACAGGCACATTAACGATTAATCCATTCCGCACAACATAATTAAAGCAAACGATGATTTAGGTTTTATATATGTTTACCGTAATCTTGAGGCCTTTGAATAATATCCAGCAAAGGAGAGTAGACGTCAATGTAGAGAAGCCTTGTCCCAGGAAGCTTGTGTCTGAGTGAATTTAGCTGGGAAGATAGCTTGGCATTGAACAATCTCGCCACTTGGTTGTACTCTTCTGCACACTCTCTGTATATTCCTCCAGCTTGGGTTCTTTGGGATGGCACACATCCTATTGGTGGAGAGCTAAACACACCTATCCTTCTTCCCCCAAGTTCATACAATTCCTGTATGCCGTGCCCCAAGCCCCCCAACAATTATCACCATCAGTTAAAACATAATCTACTCAATCACTAAAAGCTTTCAAACCTTGGAAGAGTTTTGTTGTAAAGCTTTCAACAAACACATGGCAAACTGGAGCCCTCTATTGATCGTGCGTGGGTTATGAATCAAATATCAAACTATAGTATTCAAAAGCTTAATACATCTCCTCTGTGATCACGACCCTAAGAATTGGGGTACGGTAGACCAAGTCATAGATTGACTGCGTTTCAAAGCATAATGAGAAAGCCCATGGGCTGCTCTATTACAGGAAAAACCCACGTCACAGAAAGCTTATGGAAAAACTCAGGATATTTAACAAACGATAGACCAGGATACTTAACAAACCATTTTCATATTTAGGCTCAGTTTGGAAGGAGTATAAATGCAAATATATAAAGTACAAAACCTTGTATTTTGTATGTATTTACACTGTACATATTTGTATTTGTACTCATTCTAAACTGAGCGTTAAAGACAAAGGCCCTAAAAGCACAATGTCTTTTTTTTGGTGGGTCTGATTGGGCTGGGCCATGACAAACCCACAGGCCACGACGACATGCAGTAATAAAACTAAGAGCTATTAAAAACGGTGTACCTCAGTACCTGTACGAAACCCGAAGCCTCCTGGACCATGAGATCCGTGTAACTGGGAATGTCGTAATGAAGTCTCCTGAACGTTGCACCAAAATATGTATTTGCAATGTCGTCGCTCCCCGCACCAATAACATATAGGCTCTCTGATACGATGGTTGAGCTTCTCTCCTCTCCCACAGCTTCGTTCAACTTTCCTATATACTCTTTGAATAATTCCAATTGCTTCGGCAATGATAAAACCGACTGAAATATATATATATATATATATAATTTGAAGAAACCCCACATAAACATATTTGCGATTTTGAAAGTAAAAGAAAATAGAAAAAACATATATATTACAAATATGAGGACTATACCGATGCTTGTGCAGTGAGAGGATCAAATCCTGCACCACCTGAGGCAAAGCTTACGCCGGTATGGAGGTCTTCAGTTTGGAGATCGGGGTCGAGATATGCGGGCAAAAGCTCCTTTATCCCAATCTCTTGAACTGGAAAATTCTCAAGCAAATAAATTTCTTTAACAAAAAAAAAAAGTACTAATCCTTCTAGTTTAACTTAGCTTAGCTTAGCTTAGCTGAAGTGACCTTTGATATGTGATTTGACAAAACATATTTCTCACCAATTCATAGTAATCAATCGAAAAGTATTTAAGGTATAAACAGCACAGGTACCAATCACAACCTTGGGGGGATGAGAAAACTACCTAAGAGGTCGGAAGGGACCCTTCCATTGCTAAACCTTCCAGTTGGAATTCCTCCCATGAAATCCCTCCCATATGGAGGGAAATTACACTTAACTGCAGTGAGAAGGTTGTTGTTATTGCCAGTATCCACAATTGAATCTCCAAACACTATCAAGGCCGGGATGGTTACATTGTGAGGTAAGGCAACAAGAGTATCAAGGAAGGAAAAGGAAAAGAGAAGAGGAGAAAAGAAAATAATGGTTAAAGTAGAAGAGAAAGAAGAAGAGAAAAGACCAACTGTTAGATATGTAAGACGGATCATAATGTTTATGGAAAGAGCTACTTGGTCTTAGCCTAGAAGAAGAGGAAGAAGTGAGGATTTTTTTTTTCTCTATTCCATTTATCATATAGGTAGGTATTTATTTTACTGGGCTGGGCTGGTAAGAGAAAAGGATATCAGTGGTTGACACATTAAAGATACACACGTAACGTGTACATAAAGCCATGTAACGTAAGATGTTAGTTGAAGATGCATGCAGTTCTATCACACGGCCAAGCTATTTTCCGATCAACTTAAATTATCCTACTCCTACCCAAAGCTTATTGGAAGTAAAACAACTTAGTTAAAATTAATGTATTCACAGACACATTTGTTCCCAAACACCCAAACGCAAGTCCTGCTTTTCTATGGTGCATAACAGAGTCACGTCTTTCTTGTTCCAGAAAAGCAAACAATGTTATCTAAGGTTGGGCCTCCGGGGGTTATACTTTCTAACTGTCCCTCCAATTTAGGAATGGCTACGGGCCGCCCCGTAGTCAAGATACTTTGCCCCGTTCCTGGTGGTGGGGCGGGGCATCCAATCCTCGTCAGGGATGGGGAATTCTTGAATTTTTCTCTACTCCAAGGTAATTACTTAAAAATGATCTATTTTGTGGATAATTTACACATAGGATATATGAATTTGGGGGTATTTTAGGAATTGGACTTTAGAGATAATTCATAAATAGAATTATGGGATCGTAGGATTTTAAGAACTTAGAGATATTTTAAATATCAATGTTAAACCTAGAGATATTTTACTAATTTACCTTTAGGTTTAGGTATACAAAACTCGTCCCCGGTTCAGGAAAAAAATATTTTTCCCATCCCCACCCCATCTTTGTTTAGGGTTGGGGAAAACCCGTCCCATTTGGGGCGGGGCCCCGGTTTTATAGGGAAATTGCCATCCCTACTCCAATTAGCGGGTTTAAATTAATTCAACAACCTGAACCAAGGTTGTTAAAACCGACTTGAAGAATGAACCGGTCAGGGATCTGGTTCCCGGATCGAACGGTTGACCCGTTTTAACAAAAAAAACATAAAAAATTAAAAAAAGATCAAAACCATTGAACGGTTCGACCGCCTAAGTCAGTGGTTTGCTGACCAAATCAATGTTTTTGGCCAAAATCTTGTTTTAGCAAAAAACAAAACTGGTCTAACCAATTCCAGATTTTTCTGATCCAACCATTCGGTCCAATCCGGTTTTGAAAACCATGGCCTGAACTGTCAACAGAGCTCTCCATGGTATCTGATGCATTGCAGCATAAGTGTCATACGTGGAGTTAGAGAACCCCCCATTCATAGCCCAGCCCAAGCGGAACCCAGATTAGCTGAACACAATGATTGTATAACCAACAATAACGCACCAGCAATAATTCATATATGCCCAACAACCACTCAATCTCAGATGTTATTATTGGTTACACAGCCCAGTAACACAACCATCGCTTTCAGCTAATTTGATTTTACAGCCGGAAGTCGAAAATGACTAGACACAAAATCATACACAGAAGAGGAAGAGGCTTGGTAACGCTATCAAGATTCAAGACTGAACATGCATGTCAATGTTCTATTAATTGCGCTGGCAACTGGCAACAGAAAAGGGTTTCGGTAGTTGAGACGAGACATTTTTTTTTTTTTTTTTGGGCCACACAATTCAGTAGTTGAGACAATAAAGAGAGATTTAAAGACATGTAATAGTTAGGGATGTTATTAAGGTTAGTTGAAGATGCAGTTGTATGCTGAGAATCATATATAATAGACAAAGTTGGCTGCTTTGTGGTTGTAGGCTTAGCAATACCCCCACATAGAAAACTGATAATGGGGCCTTATTATTTCTATTGTTCATGGGGGATCTTTCTTGTTATATGAATTCCCATATCATTCCACATACATTGCTATCAGTCTAAAATGAATTGCTTAAACATTCATTATATTCCAGCCACATCTCATAATTAAGTGGACCTGTCGTGAAATTTCAACCGATCGATCGGTCATTTTGGTTTTGGTAGGGAGTAAGTAATAGGCAAATTAGTACAAGAGGCCCACACCCACATGTGTATTGGGAACATCTCCCGTATGTATTTGTCATGACATCACCTCCATCAGTATTCACTAGGATGATAATGCTCCAGCAAGGGTGGTTACTCTTGTTTAATTTATTCCAAACTTACATTAAACTTCTACTACTGCAACAGGTATGTTTTTATTTCCCAAGGTAGATTGTACTTGTAATCTCAAACTCAAATAATGCAAATTCTGGGGCCAAAGACTAACGACCTAATTAACTAATTAAACTGAATTTAACAAAAGGCGATGATCTGCCTAGCTAATTATTAAACGAAGCTCTTGGTGAACTCTTTTATAAGAATATCGACGAGAATGGCGTAAGCTTTTTCTGTGGGATGGTAACTGTCCCAGAACACATACTTGGACGCATCTTCACAGGTACAAGGGTTCAAGTCATTGCACAGTATCGACAGTTCAATACTTCCCGTTCCACAACATCCTTTGGTAGACTCTTCAAATCCTGATGACATTATAAAACAAAACAACACCGTTTAAACTGTCGCAAATTGGAAGATTAATTAGTGTTAGAATAACCAATAAAAAAAAAAAAAAAAAACTTGAAATTGAACTGGTAGCCTTGTCTTGTCATGAGATCTTTTTTGCTCATTGAAAATTAAAGAGCCCATAATAAAGGTGATCCAATAACGAGCATGTTTTATAAGACAATTAATTTTTATACTGACATCCTAAATCCCCAAACCTTAAATGATTTAACCATAAGCCCTAAAATTAAGCACACACCCTTTATTTTGTTTTGAAAAGTGAAAACAAGTTGGTTTTGTTTAAAAAAAAAAGCAAATGATAGTTAAGAAAAACAAATTTTGTGGTATAGATATTAATGAATTATGGAATATGATATTAAATATGAAAAAAATGTTATATATTTAAACCATAAATTCAAGAAAATATTTTTGATTTCAGTTTGGAAAACAAAACACACACACATATACAATCAGGAACATATAGTTTCCATGTTTTCATTTCAAAAACGAATATATTTTCAAATTAGAGGAATTTAACTTGTTTTTGGAGCTCACAAAAAAATTTACAATATTGGAGAATACTCCCTTGATTAGTTTTGGAGCCGGCCAACGAGTAGCAAAGACCCTCATCCAGTATGCCGACGAGAAGATAGAAGGGTCGTTGGCAACCACTCTTAGTGGCGCACGGGGACATGTCAAGGTATGTCATGACAAGGATGACAGTGAACATGAAGGTGACATTACTATATATGTATAACAGTGACATTACTATATATATGTGTGTGTGATCTTGACATATATAACAGTGACAACAATAAGGATGTTCATAAAAGATTGAATTACCATAAAGATGAGGCCTTTGTATAATATCTAGCAAGGGATAGTAGACATCAATATAGACAAGCCTGGTATGAGGGAGTTCTTTTTTCAGCCAATGTATCTGGGGCTGTAGCTTAGCGTTGAACATCTTCGCTGCTGCATTATAATTCTCTGCACACCCTTTCACTTTTCCTCCGTTGACGGTTCTCTGGAAAGGCACACACCCTACTGGTGGAGCGTTGATCACTCCAATATTTCTCGCCCCAAGTTGATGCAATTCCTGCATTTTTTTTATCAATAAATTACAGTTTATTAGTGACTTGCCAGACATAAAGCTCTTTTGTTCATGCAAATTATCTGAAAATATTTGATAGTTTGAAGTTAGAAGTATTGAAGACTAGATACATTTACGGGCCTTAATTAAAATTAGGTATTGACGATGACGCACCGATGACATTACTGCCTTTTTTTTCATGGTCATCCCCTCCTTTTCTTTCATTACCAAGAGACAACTATTTCCAGCGAGAGAGAGAGAGAGAGAGAGAGTGAGTGAGTTATTAACAACTAATCTTGAGTCAAACCAATTAAGATGAGAAATAACTCTTCCATTTGAGGTGGATATTGGAATTAAATGGCTTTGCCAATTCATTTATCCTTCATTGTTAATGAGAATTCAAGTTTCAACTCTCAAGAGTCAAGACAATAACTAGCCCCTTTCATTTGGGCAAATTTCCCCACATTGTTACTGCCTAAAATTAACACTGAACACAGGTCCGTCCAAAACGAAGGTTCCCCCTTTTTGATCAATGACCTGAATTGGCAACATCATCCTTGGACAGGAGCCAGCTAGGGGACCTCGTCTCCCTGAATTATAATATGGTAACATGTACCCGACCGGCCCCACTGACGGTTTTAATCACTTCTTTCAAACCCCAATATATATAAGAGCGATTTTATTCAGAAACAAGAGAACAATAGAAACAGATATAACAAAAGGCAAACGCAAGACACTCACAGACCTAAACTTGCGACACAGGAAAAGAAACGACAATGCACCTGCAACAAACAAGGAAGAGAAGCATAACCAGAAAAAAAAAAACAGAAAAAAGAAGAGACACACACAACAACTACCTCCGAAACTAAGGGTTTTTACTAACTTGATCAAACACCACAGAGTCTGCCAACCATCTAGGCATAGCTTCAGCGAAACAGCTCAGAGAAGACAAACCATAGATAACTAGCTTATGTGCCACCCCATTAGCAGAGCGAGACACCCAACAAAAATCGAAAGATCTTCCTTGAACAGATTCCTTAAATTCATGCATAAAAACAATGAATACGGTGACATTTCATATCAGAATAAAAAAGACTGTCTATCAGAGATTTACAGTTTGATTCAAAAACCACTGCTTCCAAAAGGTACAGGGATTAGCTTTGATTCAAAACGTAAACTATAAGACTATCTTTGGTTTGAAGGAAAAAGTAGGGAAAGGAAAGGAAAGGCAAGGAAATCTTTACAAACCTTGTATAGGTTTTGATATCTTTCCCTTCCTTTCTCGACCTTTTCCTTTAAACCAAACATAGCCTAAGAGAAACTTCCTATAGAAAAATCCAGATATTGAGACACCAAGGTTGTCAGTTTTTTTTTTTTTTTGTCTCTTTCGGGGGTCCATGAATGATACAATTAATTTATTTTATGTCCCTTTAAGGCTTAAACCAACAATAACTATTTGGAGCTAGTATTACTCATCAAACCCATGAGCTTAAATCATCATCACTTCAATACTGCAACTAGCTAGCTAGAAATATAGCTGTGCTTAGTGCTTACCCGAATGAAAGAAGTAGCCATTTGAACCATGAGATGAGTGTATGAAGGGGCATCATAGTCCATTTTCCTGGTTGGTGTGATGAAATACCCTGCAAGGTCGTTACTACCAGCACAAATGATGTAAGCGCTCTCAGCTAGGATGGTTGCAGTCTTCTCCTCTCCAACAACTGCCTTCAGTTTTTCTATGTATTGTTTGAACATTTCCAACTGATCCGACATTGTAAAAGCCGACTGATATTTTCATTTGGTAGAAGAAAAGGAAAGCCTTGCATATTAGAGCTAAGCATAGAAAAATAATAATAAAAGCTAGCTTGACACAAATTAATATAAATGATGAACAGAATGGTTATACTCGTACCAGTACTTCAGGTGCAATAATATCGAATGCCGCACCGCCTGATGCAAAATTTACCCCGGTAAGGAGGTCTTCTATTTGCAGAGTTGGGTCAAGATAGGGGGGCAATAGCTCCTTAACTCCCAAAGCTTCAGCTGGGAAATTATCAAAGGAAATAAACATTTAATGTAGCACGAATATGCTCTAGCTAGCAATTAATACACATGGAGTTGAATTGAAGTTTTGTTAAGTTTGGGTTGGCAAATTTAGCTAGGTTTTGACATGCATCGATCAGTTTGGGCTTAGGCCAAATTCCATTTTAGGGTCGGTTTTTGGTTGGCTCTTGACCTATTTGTACCCCTGCACTGCTTTGCCCCAATAGAGAAAAGGGTTCAAAAAAGATTTAAGAGGAAAGAGTATTTAGAATGATGGATATTATTATAGAAAATTAATAGTTAAGATGTAAGAGGGTATTTATTATGTAGGGGGCCACGATATACAGCATAGTGCAATAATTAAGCAACAAATTCCAAGTGACTATTTGGCCTTCTTTCCTCCGTATAATGTAGATATCGATTGATGCATACACCCTAGCTACTGATTGTGAATCTTCAGTTGGGTGATGAGCAACCCATATTGATTATAAGGTTGTGATGACCACGTGCAGTGGTTTATCTCCTGTGAAACACTAGTTATGTGTTATTTAATGATTTACGTACTTTGACACAGTGTTTCTTAATTAGGTTATAGTTATTCATTGATAAGGAGGTAGCTAGCGTTGCAATTTGCAAGAACAAGAGGCTAAGGGGAGACTGGAGGGGGAGCCACAGATGTAAACTTCATCATAGTACTTGACATCTTCAAATTAAAACTCATCATATAGATCAGAGTGAATCCATTTCAATTCTTCTTCAACGAACTGCCCTTGGAGTTGACACTTGAGAGCTGCATGGTCATCCATCAGTTGTCCTTGGTTCTCTGCAGTCTGCGCTCAGCCCATCTCATCATGGATGTTCTCAACAATTAATACAAATTAATTATTAATTGCTGACTTAATTTGCATAGGTTACGGCTCTAAATGTGTGGAAACTCAAGCTAGCTTCTATTTCTAGAACCATCTCTGAAACTTTTGCCAGCTAGATGGAAATTAGTAATACAATTCCCACATGAATCCACCACTCCTCGATCGACCGGTAATTGAAATAGGAGAAGGTAGGGTTTCGATCGACTATATATATATATATATATATGTTTGTCAAGCGAGATCAAGTAGTGTGTCTAGCTGGAAGGAATTGAATTGAAGGACGACATTATAACAAGGTTGGTAATGGTTAGTAGGGGAATCCCTTCTGCTTCTTACACAGTCTGTAACTCTGTCCTCCTCTTGTCAGGGTCAGGGGACTGAGGAGGTTAAATAGTACGCCACCATGTTCATGTACGTACCAAGAACAAGATATAGGAAACTGATCGATCACATATTGTATGGTGGATGAGTTCTGCAGGAGACTGCAACTCAAACAACGTAACAAAAATAACTGAAGTACGTAGTAAGTGACAGTTACGTACGTACCTATGAGGTCTGAAGGAACCTTTCCGTTGCTAAACCTTCCTGTTGGTTTCCCTTCTGGGAAATCTCTCCCGTATGGAGCGAAGTTACACTTGGCTATCGACACGATATAGTTATTGTTGCCTGTGTCTACAATGGAATCTCCAAACATGAACAGAGCCGGGAACGAGACATTCTCAGGTAGGATGAATCCGGCGGCTTGGATGATCTGCAAATCAAAACAGCTGAATATAGAGAGAAGAATGACTAGGCAGCAAGTTGTAGGGGAAACTAAACCCAATTCTAAGGCCGCAAGCTGCTGCATTGTGGATTGTGGTTTGCACTTCACAGGGGAGAAAAGCCCTCTAATTACTCTTAGCTTCCTTCTCCCTCACAGTAATAAACTGGCCGGCCGGAGGAGAAGAGAAATTAAGTAGGGATCGTCGGTGTTCTGGTACTCGGCCTAGCTAGCGCTTTATAGTTTGATATATATGCATGGTTCTTGACCCATTTAGCCATGGTGCCATGTGATGCACTTTCGGTTAAATTTGCAACTCTCGTACGCAATCTCCATTAATTTCCAAGATTAATACGATGCGTTGAGACTTGAGAGAGACGAAGCACTTCACAAATCGACAACTTCCGGACAGCCTGTCTAATTAATACTCTCTTCGTGTTGTTTATTTCTTCATTGAGTTTTCTGCCATTCCTTCCCGCCATCAGATACGTACCAATAAACATTAATTTGTTTTTGACTGTGCGATAATCGATTCTCATCGCTGATGCTGATGGAGGCACTCGTAGCCATAGCCTAGCTTTTCCTCTTCTCGTTTTAGCATCTCATCTCATATAAATTAGACCATCCCAAAATTCTAATCCATTTAGTCTTACGCAGCTCGTGTCATTCAACTGAAAATTTGTAAGTCAGCAGGTAGAGAGCTCTCCTACCCCATCTGCACTATGGATAAATTATAAAGACCCTTCAGTATGGGCTCAATGACAATTACTCTCTTGATCTCTTGAACTTTCATTTGCAAGAAAGACTACTACCAAGTCATCAGTGAAACAACCGACACCCCCAAAGCTCACCGGGGGTGTTCTAGTCTGAGTCTCAAAATACTTGTCAAACTGGATACACAATACTCATCTCAGATCCATAAATGGCTGGGAGCAACCAGGATCCTAGTTCATGGATAGGTTCGAAGAATTTACTTAAAGTTGATAACCGCAAGTAGATTTTTTTTAGAAGAGTCACGAGCGAGCATTGGTGTGTAGAGTAGGGATTTTTGAAATTTTGAATGTCTATAACTTTGCATCGGAAATCAGAAATCTGTATTAAGCCTATCCGTACTTTTTGTGGTCCTGCATGATGTACTCACAATCGTCACAGAATTATTTTATTTATTTTTTGACGGTGGGCTATAGGTTGCGCGTCTCTCTGCTGCAATCAAGCATCAAACTTACAGCTGACTCACAAACCAGGTGGTTTTGAGTCTTGACTTAAACATGCCCTGAGTTTTCATAAATTTTACCTTTAATTTTTTGTCAAATTTTCAAAATATACCCCACTATTTTAATTTGTTTGATTTCATCGGTAAGGGAACTGAGCCTTTGGATAATCCAAAAACCATATTGGATTTCAGTAAGGAGAGGTGTAGGGAATCCAATAATCCTAATGCTCCAAATAGCTTGATGAGGTCTTATGGGGGAACCCCCCGAGTAATGGAAACTCTATGTAGCTGGATTTACTGTTCAGGAACGCCGCATCACTTCAGTAGGGGTGATCATGAGCCGGACTCGGCCCTAGTTTGTAAGCCCAAGCATACAGGTTTTCCGGGCCTATCACATCCAATGATAAAAATTTTATTATTTAAATTTTAAATTAAATTAAATTACATGTAATATGTGCAAAATATATATATATATATGACACAAACCCAAGGCTTCCATTCCTATGCACAAAAAAACACATGCGCATCATTTAATTCTTAGAGTTGGTTTGACTTGCTTTAGCTTATCTATCATTTTATAGATGAAGGCATCACCTCCATTTTCATTTTTGGACAATGTGGGACTTAAAACAACACTAAATATTGAGTGTTCTTCTAAGTCCTACATTGGTTAGGCAATGAGAATGAAGGCATATGTAAGGCCTTGTCTAGGACAATTTACAATTATATACTTGAATTGGTTTCAAGACTTTACACATGAATTGGCATGTGTCAACTAATTAATATTTTTTTTATATGTTAAAATAAAAAATTAAAATTTGTGCATCTTATATAAAATATTAAACATTTAGTATAAAATAAAATATACTTGTATATATATGTAAAAATATATATTATAGTATATTGCAGGCTGGGCTGGGCCGGGCCTGGGTGGGGCTTAAAATGTTAGGCCCAAGCCCGACCCAAAACTTTCCAGGCTTGATGCAGGTTTGGGCCCGGTTTTTGAGCTGGGCCAGGAATGATCACCCCTACACTTCAGCCACCAGAAAGAGATATAAATATGATGTGAATTAAGTCATACATATTAGAGGGCATATAAGAACAAAATGGGATTTTAAAAATTTTAAATGAGTACACATGTGACATTTAATGGGGGATTGGGGGTATGTTTAAGTCTAGATGGGTCAGCTTACAACGTATATTTAAAGTCTATTTGAAAAAACTTACGATAAGTCAATTTATAAAAAGTCAAGGTATGTTTACAAGTCAATTTAAAGTTACATGGCTGACCCTTCAAATGGAATCACTAATGGAATCACTAGGATATGCAAGTGTCATCTCTGGTAGGTAGCGATAAAGGTCAACAACATTGAACATCTTAGAGATATCCATATGATCCGGTAGGTCCATGACATATGCATTGTCGTTGATTTTCTTCACGATCTTGTATGGACCGTACTTCCGAGGCTGCAACTTGTTGTATTTTCCCATTGGAATCCTTTCCTTCCTCAAGAATACCATAACTTCATCATCGGCGTCAAATACTTGGTGCCGATGATGCTTGTCTGCTGCCAACTTGTACTTGGCAATGGTTTGTTCTAGTCTCTGCTTCACGACTTCTTGGACGGATTGGATCTTGTCTGCCATCTGTTCTGCGGAGGTACTGACACCGGGTACTTTGGGTAGCTTCACTAAATCCAGTGCATGATTTGGAACCTTCATGTAGACAATTGAGAATGGAGATCTACCTGTGGAGCTGTGTACTGCATTATTATAGGCGAACTCAGCCTGTACAATGGCGAAATCCCATTGCTTCGGTCTCTCTCGACATATACTGCGAATCAAATTACCAAGGGTCCAGTTCACCATCTCTGTTTGTCCGTCTGTCTGTGGATGGGCTATGCTGCTGAAATTTAGTGATAAGTCAAATAGCCTCCATAGGGTCATCCAGAAGTGACTTAAGAACCTTGTGTCTCGATCTGATGTGATAGTCTTGGGTACCCCATGTAAACGGACAATCTCTCTGAAAAATAATTTGGTCTTCGCTGATGCATTTGTTGTTTTCTTGCATGGAAGGAAGTGAGCCATCTTAGAGAACCTGTCAACCACCACGAAGACGGAGTCCATATTTCTTTGGGTTTTTGGCAAGCCTAGCACAAAATCCATGGACAAGTCTTCCCCATCAGGTCCACAGTATACTTCCTTTCCACCATATTAACTACCTTTCTTCTGGGACAGTCACTGGACCTATGTCCAACCTCATTACATTTAAAGCATTTAAAAGGAGCGGGCTTTGCATAGGGATTACTGGGTTTAGGAGGGTTGGAAGGGTTACCTCGGGTATGTCCTCCTGTGATGGCCTTACCGGCGTTAGCTGTACTTGTCGGGTGAGAAGGTTGTACTACCAGAGCTGATCTGTTCCTGTCGACAATTGCCGGTCTGTTGTCGCTCCCGCTGTACCGGCGATAATTATCACTACGGGCCTTTTCTTGGAACATCAATTTTGCTTTCAAGGCTAGGTTCCTTGCTTCCTGCACACTAAGAACCATCTGTACACCAATTTTATCTCTGATAGACGGTCTCAAACCGCTCAGATAACGGGCTGCATGCTGGTTATCACTTTCAGATAATTGATTTCTTTTAGTTAATCTTAAAAATTCATATGTATATTCATTAACACTACGGGAACCCTGCGCACACCGTTGGCATGATTCAAACATGTACTGTTCATAATCTTGGGGTGAAAATCTACCTCTGATTAACTGTTTCATGCGCCTCCAGGTTCGAACAGGACCTCTTCCTTCTCTAATCCGGGTCTCTCTCATGCATTCCCACCAAACGGATGCACATCCTTTTAGTCGGAAGGCTACTAGTTTGACTCTCCGTTCTTCTGGGATTTCCATATACTCGAAGAAACGATCAACTTCTGTTATCCAATCTAAAAGTCCTTCTATGCCAAGGTCCCCACTAAAAGTAGGAATATCTACCTTGAGTTTAAATTCATCATTAATCCTACGGGGATTGAAATTACCTTGATTGTGTCAATTTCGGTCGTTTCTGTCGTTGCCGGGAAAAATTGGAGCACCACCGAATTCTAACTCATCATCACTGTCATTGTCAAGAACTGGACACCGGGATACAGCGTTGACGGGCGGTCTGTCGTGGTCGTCTCCTTCGATTGGATGTGTATTTTCCCGGTTCCGTGGAACAACCTCCCGTAACAAGGTTTGCAGTTGTTCAGCCATCTCTGTCAACTGCTGTTCGATGTTACGTGTGGTCGTGCGTTGCTCTTCGATTGCTCTCTAAACAACTTGTAACCCCTGATCTTGGTCACGGGGTGGGTTGCGACTGCTACCGTCTTGGTTGGCCATCTGACTGGGCGAACTCCCTGCTCTGATACCACCTGACGCAGCGTGAAAGCAATGAAACCGGGTTGGCTATGCAAGCACCGGGCAAACACAAGCTTCTAGCGAAGCAAGAACAAAAATCTCTAGAGGAGAGAGAAAATGTGGCGAAAAACTGAATTGTAAAATCTGAGATGTGTATTAACTTGGAAAGAGCAACATTTATAGTACATCTGGAAATTGTAGAAGAACTAGGAAAGAACAACTAAGATAGATATCAAAACATCTAATCTGCTAGGATCGAACTCTTCCTGATCTTATCCATGCATTGCACTTCTTGAATTCTTGATGAGTCTTGGGTTCTTGAATTATTGATGAGTCTTGGATTCTTGAATTCTTGATGAATCTTGGATTCTTGAATTATCCTTATCCTTATCCTAGGAGTTGCTGCCCCTATAGTGAGATGGGCTTTGGGATGGGCCTCCATCAGTGTGTGTATATGTGTTGTTATATCACATATTGAAACCAATTCAATTTTCATCACCTTTATATAATTGACAAAAGATATGTGTTGTTATACCACATATCGAAACCAATTCAATTTTCATCAACTTTATATAATTGACGAAAGATATGTGTTGTTATATCACATATCGAAACCAATTCAGCCAGAATGATTATCGGGAAAAGTATGGACAGGCCCATAATAGAAACCTTGAACCGCAGGCCAGCCCATACAGAATTTATAAT